AAATAGTTTTTAAATAAGTAGAAGTCATTATAAATTCATTTTTTGTATTTTTTTATTTTAGAGATCATGAAACTCAACAAAACAAAACAGAACAAATCAGATCAAAATAAAGCAGTGAAACTGGTACAGAACTTCAAAGTAAGATAATAGGAAAACAACAATAGTTACCATAGTGTATCTTGTTATCTTCACAGTAGTTGTCTGTTCCATCAGATATAGCAAAATCAAGCCAAAACAAAACAATAAAACAAATCAAAACAGAATATTGAATAAAGCAAAACCGAACAAAACAAAACAAAACAGAACAATATTGAATTTCAAAATGCTTATGGAGGAGTGGAGGGGAGCTGGTGATTCTTGGCCCGTGTGCTGGTAGGCTCGCGGGAGGAAGGTCCTATCTGCCTTTTCTCTTCGTGGTCCCCACATGGTCTGCACAGCTTACCAGACAGGCTGGCTGGTTGGCTTGTTGGTTGGCTTCTCCCATCATGGCTGATTCTCAGGAGGCACTGGTCTGACTTTTCTCTTTCTCTATTTCTTTATATTTTTTAATACATCAAGCTTATAATCTTACTTTAGACTTACATAGCAAGGTAGTTTTACAAAACTCTGTTTAGTAATTTTAAAATTCTATACTGTGTACTACCTCTAGAATTTATAGACTAAAGAGAATATCTTTGAAATGGCCTGTGATTTGCTGGAATATTTATAATTTTGTTCTACTCTGATTCTCAAGAGACAGGATGATCTGGGTTAAAATCACAGCCAGATGCTTCCATTTGCCAGGGATTTGACCTTGGGCAAGTGGCTTAACATGTCTGATTTAGATTTCATTATCTTTCACTTGAGAGAAGACTGCTTAATACACCCCAAAAACTTTACAAAAAAATAATCTGCCAGTTTTCCAAGTGACATAAGACACTCTTGCGTATGTAAATGAACATGATGATAGTTTCACAGCATAGGAAAATGTGGTTTTCTGTGAAGAGTGTTGAATGGCTGAAGACCTTCTGAAGTTCTTTTATCATTTCATGATATTGCAGGACTGGTTATTCAAGTTTTTGTTTTTTGAGAGGAGCAGAACTTAGGAGAACAGATGGGGTGGTCCAAGTTCATTTAAGACAACCAGGAAATGGAAGAAATAACTGTCCGTTTGGCTTTTTATGCAATTGAGTGAGCTGAATTTGTGTCAGAAAAGCTATGAACAGTATACTTAAAGCAGTCTTTGGTCAATAAAAATGTTCTCAGATATTAATGGGAAGCTTATGGTTTTTAATTAGAAACTGAATCCTTGCATTTCAGGTCATGCTGTCACAGACTTGTCTGGGAAAGTTACAGCCAGAAAGACATTCTGTGCTAGCTTCTAGCTATAAGTGAATAGAGCACAAAGCATCTGGAAAATCCACCATGATTGACTTATGTGCTCAGCAGCTGTTTATCACTGAGCAAACAGATTTACACAGCAGAACTGAATTGTAGAAATTGACTGCAGAACTTTAAAGGGATCTTCAGTAGACTTTGAGATAAGTGGAGATGAGATTAAGTAGTTAACATCTGAGTGAGTTATTGGAAGGAGAAGCTGTGATTAAAGACTAAACCGTTTGTTCTGTATTAGTTTATCATGAGCTAAAAGCTGATCCTGAGGGGGATCATGAAGAGCTGGTAAGCCTTTTACATAAATGTAATTTATTTTGGTAAAAACTGTCTTTTCTTGTTTCTTGGAGTTTAGGTTGTTCTAAAAGTGAGAGTGTATAATAGAATGTAAAACATAATAGCATGATATCCTATAAGACTAATAATTGGAGACGAAGGTAGATTGCAGAGGGTAGATGGTGGATGTGAGGAGACTGGCTTGTTTTCCAAAGATGAAAATAATGGAAGAGAAAGAAGGCTCGAGAAACCAGTGGTGAATGAGAGATTGGGCATGGGACTTTTGGAGAGAATTTTCAAAGGACTGAGAACAGATGGGACTCAGAGCCACTTCTCATCTCGTGAACATTTTATTTTTGTCTCCAGTACGCAGTTACATGCAGAAGCATGCAGTGAAAGGCATTGCCCTACCAAGTGAGAAAATACGATGGGTTTGTATGAGAACCTGTTTGCTGCTGACATTTGCATAGTCATCTCTAGAGATTTATAGATTTCCATTGGGAAATGCGAAGTTGTGTATTTTCTACCGCGAGGGTTTTAGTGTGATACTTGCAGGCTCATCCTGCCTTTCCTTTATGTCACCCTTAGCATGCCTGTTACATAACATTTGGAGTCTGTCCCACAAAAGGAAGCTAACCCTCTTTCTTGCCATGACACAGCAGTAGCCAGTGACATTTTATACTGTCTTCTCTGAGCCTGACACTCGGGCTAAATAGTGCCGAGTTTTGCCCATCATGCATTTAAAGTGTACCAAGGGGGAAGGGGTTGGGAAACAAGCTGTTAGTTTTGTAAGTTACACAGTGCCTCTGAACTTTTTAATGGATTTTTGGTTTAGCAAGTATAATTGCTGTAAAGCAAGTTGAGATTTCTAACATTGTGTTCTTCTATTGCTGTAAATTAAAAACTAGAATAGGTAAGGGTGAGTGACAAAATCTGTATGTTAATGTATTGTGTGTAGTTTTCAGTTAGGTGAAAATTTTATTTTATATGACCTGTGTAACATATTTGGAATGTGCGTAGGTAAAGAGTTCATTTCTTGTTTCTGTATTATTTTTTCACCAGTTGGGTGATATTTGAGGGAAGTAGTAGTGTAGATACCTGGACCACCCATGATCAAAACAGGTGCACTCTATTCTCCCTCAACTGAACTAAACCAGTAATTTGCTGTGTCATTTGACTTTATCCTATTGTTTAAAGCCTATTTATTGACGAGGTGCCCATTGTACACAGTGTAACTACATGATGTCTCCTAGATCTAGATTGAAAACAGTTTGTAATTAGCTGACAGTTAATTAACACTTTCAGGGTACCACTTTTATCTTATAATCATGTACTATTAAATTGAACTCAATTATCTTCTCTCATTTACCTGGAATGCATTTTATTGGTGCTTGCATTTAGGCTGTCTTTTTAAGTAAGTGGTGATCAGCTTGAGAACTCAGAAAGTCCTAGTAAACTTGCTACCAAGAATGACCAATGTTTTAAAGCATGTTCATTAGGCTCAGATTGCCAGTCCTTCCCTGTCTCCTTTTTTCCCCTTGCTGTGTTATTTGCTACACAATAGCATAGGACTAAATGACTATTTAGGTATTCCTTTTTTTATTTTAAATTGCCAACTTTTTTACTTTGCAAGGATGCTCTAAAATTCATTAAGTGGAAATATTTGTTAAATTTTTGAAATGTAATTTCAGTAAAGTGTTTATCATAGCTTTTTACAGATGTTATAGAAATAAGGAATGCGTGAAATTCGTTTTAGCTTTTTGATAAAAAAAAGCATTATTTTGAGTTTTTGAACCAAAAAAAGAATTATGTACATACCATTAGAGTGTGTTTAGTTGATTAATGGGAAGAAAGTGATGTAAGCTACACTTAAGTTACTCACAAATAACTTTTGGTGTGTAATTTGACAATATATACCTATCAGATTCTGAAAATAATTTGATTGTTTTTGTATTGAATTCCTGATTTATCTAAAGCATACTGTTTTAGTCATGTGGGTTTTCTTCAATCCATTCCTGTCTGATAATTTTGTGTTAACAAATACATACCATTGTTCTTGTGAAAGCAGCGTGGTTTTCTTTTTCTTTTGCCCCTTTTCGTAACTGGCTAGCTTTGTTAAGGTTAGAACAGTTACATTAAAAATATGTTAACATGTTCTTTAGTAAAAGGTCAAAAAAGTCTTCATTTTAAGAGTATATAGGAATATGTCCTGTGCAGTTTTACAGTTCCTCCTCTCTCTTGGGTTGTATTGTTTGTACTGATATATTGGACATTTAGAAACACACTGCAATTCTGCTTGAGCCTTAGTATTGTTTACTGTCTACTTGCATCATATGAAGCTTCAGTAGCTAACAAAATCTGAAAATAAAATGATTTCATTTTAAAAAGATCTTAGACTATTAAGAAGACATTTTCTAATTTTACTTCATTAGCTGCCATTCAGTACTGAAACCAAGATACAGCTGGTATCTTCTAAACCATGTTTAGCATTTAGAGCATTTTCATATTTTTATTTAATACCATTATAGCTCTTGCTGCCTGATACATCACCAAACATGGAGTAGCTTAAAATAATAAATATTTATTACCTCAGTTTCTGTGGTCAGAAATCCTAATACAACTTAGCTGAGTGTGTCTGGCTCAGGGTGCCTACATTCAGGGCATTTGTTAATCAGGGCTCCCATCATTTCCTCAGGGTCCCAGCTGAGGAACCAAGCTCACTAACAGGTCCACAAGGGGTTATTGCTGGAACCTGCCTTGCCACATACCTCTCCCTGGGTCAGCTTAAAAGATGCAGTTGCCTTCGTTCAGAGCCTCCCAAGCAAGAGAGCACCCAGATGAAAGCTATGGTTTGTCTGTAACCAGATCTCAGAAGTGACATTTTATCATTTTAGCTTTTTGTTCATTAAAGCACTGTGTCCATTGAAACTCAGGGAAGAGGATTGAGCAAGGGTGTCAGTACTAGGAGGCGGAAATCCTGGGGTCCATCTCAGTGGCTGACTGCTGTGTGTATTATAAACACTTTGAAAATTCTAGAACTGTACCTCGTTTACTTTATCATCTTCACAGGGTTATGTTGATGAAACTTCTTTCCTGTTCAGGTAAAACTCCCTTTGCCCACCTTGCCATTGCCTCACTATCTGGAATTAATCATTTTGTATAGAATTAGACTCTATGGGGTACAAACCGAGGCAGATAAAGAAATGTTCATTTGAAGTGTTGCTTGTATAGCCTTTTCTACTTATGTAGATAAGAACCTTTGTTAGAACTCTAAGCTATTACCAAGAATGTGAACATTTGGGGATTTTTGCACTCTACAGTATTGTGTAACTTGTAACATTTGTTTTGTTCAGTATTGGTAAAGGCTTTCAGGGCGTCATGAAAAGATGGGGATTTAAAGGCCAGCCTGCTTCTCATGGTCAGACGAAAACCCATAGGAGACCTGGAGCTATCTCAACTGGGGTAAGTATAACCAATGATGCTCTTTTTAAATACTCAGTGTCTGCACAGACAGTCCTCAGTCTTTCCTTGAGATCAAGTCACATAATTTCAGTTTGATTTTAAGTGGTCCTAGTACTTGTCACTGTTTTTTGGGTTCAGGCCTTATTTTCCAGAGCCAGACTCAAATTGTTTAGGTCTATCCCACACACTTAGGCCCAGCATTCTTAATACCTTCCTCCCTGTTGTCCCATTCCCTTGCCTGCTACCCACCTGAAGTACTGAAGCCACTGTAGAAATAAAAGGTTAGGAGCCTTTCAATCTGGTCCCACTGCTTCCCACATACTGTATTTGTTTGCTCTTACAGAAAAAGTGGGGAAAGATTGTCCAGGTGCAGGAAAGAAATGGTAGAGAACAGATAAAGAAATAAAGAGCTCAGGCTTTTGGAGGAAAGACCCTTTAACTTCCTAATTCATTCTTACTCTCCCAGAGGTATAATATGAAGCACCTAGGGAGATTTCAGTCTTTATAGCTCAGTAATGCACAGGTAGTCTCTTGTACTAAAAGAAATACAGATTAAAGCTATTCTGAGGCACTAAATTCTCATTTAGCAGGTTGTATTATCAAGCTGCTTAATTTTTGTCATAGATGAAAAAAAATCTGTTGGTGAAGAAATAGGTGCTGCCACTGATGAGTATACAAAATAGTGCAGCCCTAATGAAGAGGAATGTGGACCATACTTAATAAAACTACACATGCATTTATGTCTGACATACTCACCTCAATACTTCTAGGCATTCATCCTGAAGATATTCTTAAAATTGCTTTTGCACAAGATTAGTCATCACAACATTGCTTGTGATCAGTAAGAGTAAGTATCCGTGCCTGGGAATTGAGATTAACAAATGATAATAGATCTACTCAGTGGAGTATGTGCAGCTGTAAAATACAGTGAGATCATTGTGAAGCAAGTGATTTGCAGGATACTCAGAAATATATGTGTTTGCTGTGTATTTTTGCAAAAAGAAGAACCAGGAAGTTAAACCAGAAACTAAGGAAATTATTTACCTGCAAGGAATGGGTTGGAACAGTCTAAAAGGGAGAAGAACATCAAGGTATAAAAAGGAGAAGGTTAGAGTGAACCCTATAGTTTTGAATTGGAGCTATAGGTATCGGTATGCATGTATTTATTCTTTCTGTCTTGTTCAGTGTGTGTGTGTGTGTGCGCGTGTCTGTGTGTCTGTCTGTATTTGAAGAAACAGACATGTCTGTAGATTTGTGCGTGTATTATTTGAGTCTTAGCTCTGTCTTCTAGAGTGATTTAAAAGCAAAGCTGTTCCACTGCAGTGAGCACACATAGGACCAGCATCTTGGTTTCTAAACACCATTATTCATTGAAAGGAGTTCCTAGAATGAGTAGCTTAGTAATGCTTGAGACTCAAAGAATACAAGATGAATGCAAAATATCTTGTATAAGAAATTGAAATGAGGTGGGGCATGGTGGCACACTCTTGTAATCCCAGCACTTGGGAGGCTGAGGCATGAGGATCATTGCAAGTTCAAGACCAGCCTGAGCTACAAAATGAGCTTGAGGCCAGCCTGAACTGCATAGCGAGACCCTGTCTCAAAAAAATAAAAAAAAAGAAAAGAAAAGAAATTGAAATGGTTTAAAAAAATGTAGACACATGAAAAGCATATAAAAAAAAAACAGTTCAAACAGGCTTCAATTTGGCAAAGCTGAAATAATTTATGTTTAAACTAAAAAATGAAAGTAACAGAATTCATGGAATAAAATTAGAATCCATGAGTTCACACTGTTATGAGTAAATTGAATCAATAGGTTTATAAATAAAAGGAAAAAGAGCACTGCTATTCCTTATAGTACAATTCTATCTCATACATTTGGAAGGGATGATAGGGTAAGTTTTACTGTTTTCAGATCATAGGAAATTGTCAGCAGATACTAAAATAAGGAAAGTTTAATGAGAACTAGATATTTGCATCTAACAAATTGGCTATGAATTACAAAGGGAAAAATAGTAATCATAGAGGGAGTTAACGTACCTACATCCTTAACTACGTAATCAGTTATGCATCATTAATAATTGGGTAAACAAGCATGATACACGTCCTGATATGATTCTGGTAAATTAACACATCGATTTTTTCTTAATTCTTGACAGAAATATTATGTCACCTGACTCTAATCATTGGGAAAATAATAGATAAACCTAAAGTAAATGATATTCTACAAGTGTATTGGATAATGCCCTTCAAAAATGTTCAAGATCATGAAGATGATTAATGGTTGTTTCAGACTTAAGGCTAAAGCGATACTACAGCTAAGTCCAATTTATAATTCTGAAGTGGATCTTGAACTTGTAGGCAAAACTAACTATAAAGAATATTACTGGAGCAAAATTAAAATATGGACTTTGGATTTGGTACTGTGTGTTCACTTTTCTGAGTTTTAGAATTGTACTGTTTATATTGTTCTTAGGAAATGCTTAAAGGAGCATCACATATGCCATCTGACTCAGATGATGCGAGTGACGGTTTACATACTTAGACAGTGGATGGTAGCAAAGCTAATCGGGCAGTGTACATGATCAGTAAATTGTGAGAAAGGTCTTTTTGTTTTTCTCCAAGGACACCCAAATTTATTTCTGTAAATTTGAGTTTCTCACCTGTTTTTCACCTCACTTTTCTTTTATTAGAAAACATTTGTAGTACAGACATTTACATTCCTTGTTTGGAGTTGCTGTATGTACATAACACATAGCAATTCTTTTTCCAACTCCTTCCCCCATCTCTGGTGAAAGCACCTTCTCCATACTTCCTGTTACCTTTTCTGTTACTCTTTGTGCTTAGAGTTTTTCATATAAGAGAAAACATGTGATATTTAGGTTTATATGTCTGATTTATTTCACTGCATGGTCTCAAAGTCCATCCATTTTCCTTCAAATGACTCAGTTTATCCTTATAGCAGAGTACTACTCCATTGTGTGCAGATACCACATTTTGTAGTTTGTCAGTTCTTTCTGTTTATTTTTCAACTTTATAAATATGAACTTACTTGTGTGTGTAAAATGTGTAAAAATGTTATAAAATGTGTAAAAATGTGATAAAAATTAGTAGGTCCAAAATACAAATGTTAAGAACTAAAACTAGCCAGGTGTGATAGCTCACGCCTGTAATCCCAGCACTCGGGAGGCTAAGGTGGGAGGATCTTTGCAAGTTTGAGACCAGCTTGGGCTACCAAGTGAGCTCAAGGCCAGCCTAAACTGCATAGCGAGACCCCGTCTCAAAAAAGACAAAAAAAAAAAAAAAAAAAACTAAAACTATGAAACTTTTTGAAAAGGTATGGGAATATATCTTTGTGTCCTCCAGACAGACAATAACTTTAAATACAATACCATGCATACAAACAAAAGAGAAAATGTAGATAGATGACTTCATAAAAGCTACATTGATGCTTCAAACAGTGCCATCAAGAAAATAAAGACAACTCATAGAATGGAAACAAGTATTTGTGTAAATCAAAATCCTATCTAGAATATATAGGAAACTCTTACAACTAGTAGTACAAAAATAACCCAGTTTACAAAATGGGCAAAGAACCTGAATAGATATTTTTGCAAAGAAGGTGTGTGTGTGTGTGTGTGTGTGTGTGTGTGTAATTAGCTAGTAAACACATGAAAAGATGTTCAGCATGTTGAGCCAGTAAAGAAATACAAATCTTACATAATACTTTTACACACACTGGTATAGCATAATTTAAAAGGCATGTGATGCACAAATGTGAGCAAGAATATAGAGAAATCACAGCCCTCAAACATTGGTCTCAAGAATGTAAAATGGTACAACCACTTTGGAAAACAGTTTAGCGGTTGCTAAAAATAAAAATTAAACGTAAAATTGCTGTGCGATCCATCAGTTGTGCTCCTAGTATAAACCCAGGAAGACTGGAAACGTACACTAAGATTTATACATGGATGTTCATAGCAACAGTATTCATAAGAGTCAAAGAGCAGAAACAACCTAGATGTTTACCATTTGAATAGATTTTGAAATTTCTGTATTCATACAATGGAATTTTTTTTTTGTCTTTTTCGTTTTTATCAGTACCAGGGATCAACTCATGACTGCCTGCTTACAAGGCAGGCGCTTATGCCGCTGAGCTAAATCCCCAGCTCCCATACAATGGAATATTTATCAACAAAATGAAATGAGGAATTGACTCCTCTGCAACATGGATGACCCTTGAACAAAATATGTTATGGGAAAGCAGCTGGAACACAACATTCTAGGATGTGGTTTATATGAAATGTCTGAGGCAAATCCATGGAGGCAGTATTAAATGAGTGATTACACAGGGCTGTGGAAGTATGAGTGGCCATTAATGCGTGTGGAATTTCTATCTGAGATTGATCTGTTCTAAAATTGATTATAGTAATATACAATTCTTGAACATTCTAAAAAATCCAATTGTGAACTTTAGTAGGGTAAAATGCGTTATGTGTAGATTGTATCTCAGTAAAGTTTTTTGTTTGTTTTGCTTTGTCTTTTTACAAAAGGGTTTTACTATGTAGTTCAGTCTGGCCTTGAACTCACTATGTAGCCCAGGCTGGCCTCAGACTCAGCAATCCTCCTACCTCAGCCTGCTGAGTGCTGGGAATACAGATGTGCGCCACGGCACCCAGCCAGGCTTTTTTTTTTTTTTTTTTTTTTTTTCCACTAGAATTTACAAAGGAATCTATTCTTATGACTGAAGTTAGTTGTCATGATAATGTGCTGTACTGTTTTTGTGTGTGTACTTTCATTAAGCATTGATCAGCTAGTAAATGCCTTTATCTTCCTAAGAATTAGATAAAGAATTAAAAGTATAAATTGGACTAGAAAGGCTAAATGAGTCTTTGTTTAATGTTAAGTACAGTGCTTATTACAGCATACATAGACACAGTGAATACTAGTCTGAAATACTCAGAGTTGTCTCATTTCTTTTTTATTGAATTTTTATTCTTATTGATTGTATTCCTCCTAGGGAATTGATACATGTATGTAACACATCTTAGTTCATTTCTTCATGCCCTTCCCCTCCTCCTATCTGTTGGTCCCCTTCCCTTTTCCAAAATCTATTTCCTTTCATTCTGTTTTGCTCTTTATTTGTATTTTGGGTTTCTCATATAAGAGAAACCACGTTATAGTTAAGCTTGTGTGTCTGATTTCTTTCACATTGTGGTCTCAAGATACATCCGTTTTTATCTTCCTATAGATGACTAAAGTTTATCTGTCTTTATTGCAGTGTAGTTCTCCATTGTGTATAAATGCCGTTTTCTCTATCTGTTCAATTCGTAGGCATGTAGGCTACTTTCAAGATCTAGCTAATGTGAACTGTGCTACCATAAACATGGGAATGCATGTATCCCTGTAGTACAGTATTTTTAACTCTTTCAGGAAGATGTCCAGAAGGGAATAGCTGAGTTGAATGGAATTTCTCTTTTTAGTTTTTTTGACTAATTTTGATACCAATTTCGACAGTGGTTGTATTAGTTTACATTTCTACCAGCAGTGTAAATTCCTTTTCCCCACAGCCTTGCCCATTTTTGCTACTACTTGATTTCTTGATGGCCATTCCTTCTGGGATAAGATGTAATCTCAGTGTTTTAATTTGCATTTCTGTAGGGATGCTTAACATGAGTTTTGGAAGTATGGCCATCTTGACAGTATTTGTCTTGCCTAGGGGTATCTTTTCAGAGCAAACCCAAATAAATAACTTATTAATACACCACAAGATCCTAGAAAAAAAGGAGCTATCCAAATCTAAAGCTAGTAAAAGGAAAGAAATTGTATAGATCAGAGCAGAAGTTAAAGAAATTGGAACTTAAAAAATAAAAAAATCTGAGTCCAGGAGCTGTAAAGAATAAGGCATAACAGACAAACCCTTAGCCAAACTTATCCCAAAAAAGGAAAGAAAAGACCATATTGTTGCAATTAGAAATGAAGGTGTAATCACAACAGACATTTCTGAAATCCAGAACATTATTGGATTGAAAAATTATACTGCAGTAAATTGACAAATACAGAAGAAATGGATAGATTCCTGATACAGATGACTTACCAGAGCTGAACCAAGAGGATATAAAATTGCTGAATAATCCAATAGAAGTACTAAAAGCCCAGGTCCCAATGGGTTCACCACTGAATTCTAACAGGAGTTTAGGGGAAAATCTAATGCTGGTACTCCTCAGACTCTTAATGAAATTGAAACAGGAGTACTGTCAAACTAACCCCAGAGCCTAGCACCACCATGATTCCAAAACCAGACGAGGACTCGACTCAAAAATTCCAGGGCAGCCAATTTTTTAATGAACATAGGTGCAGAGACCCTCAAAATCGTCTTTTGAGCTGTGTTGGGTATGAGGCACTGCCATTTGGAGTTTCACCTATTGATGTGAGAGTAGCTTTAATGGGACCATATATATTTTAAAATCAAATGCGCTTTAGATGCAGATTTACTGTCCATTATCAGCTAAAATTAGTGATTTTGTGAAGTTGTTTGAGTTATATAAATCAGAGAAAGCAGGGCTTGACAAACAGTATTGTAATGACTAATTCTGTTCTTTAATATTTTTGGTTAAGAAGAGTAACATCAAAAGCAAACAGCAGCAGAACCTTTCTAGCACCAGTCTCTAAACTGAGTGAAGTCAGCTTAATGCAGAAGGTTAGCTGAACATAAACCAGTCAGTCCACTTTTTCCTTTGAGTGATGGTGTGATGTGTGTGTACTTCCTTTATTTTACTCATAGCCGGTAACAGGTCAGTTACTGCTCTTGTGTTACTGAATTTGCTTGTCTGTTTCTTACTTTGTATTTGTTTTGTCTAACTTACTTGTTTTTGTCTAGTTTAGAAAGAAAATCCTCTAAGAATAAATGTATCTAAATCTGTGTTCAGTTCTTTATTGGACCTAGCAGAATGGGCGAAAATGGAACTTCTTAGTAATTCCTGTTCTTAGTTTTGGTTGTGATTTGACCAGGACTGTTTAAAATCAAGAGTACTGAAAGTGTTAACTTGATTATATCCCTTAGGACATTGCCAGAGTCTGGCCCGGAACCAAGATGCCTGGAAAAATGGGAAACAGATATAGGACATCATTTGGACTGAAAGTATGTTTGTAATGTGTCTCTTTCAGGAACACAAAAGGCATCAAAGCATCTCTGTGATAAGTATTTGTGTGCTGTTCTAATAAGCATTGCAGTTTGAGGGGCTAAGAATGTGTGAGTGAGATAGTTACAGTGGTAATGGTGGAAGTACATATTTATTTAACATCTAAGCCATGAGATGTATGCTCATTAAAAAGAAGAAATTTTATTTGACCTGGAAGATTTCTGCAAAATATTGCATGAAGAGAAGATTTGGTGCATAGGTATGGTACTATCTTTTTATACCAAGTGAACAGAAGCTCTCTACATATATATGTTGCTATGCTGTTACATAATCACAAAGAAAAATGGAGCATTATATACCAAGTTCTCTTGGATTATATGTCAAAGTTTGGGAGGATAGAACTAGATGTCAGTAAAAAGTAGAGAAACAGGGGCTGGGGATTTAGCTCAGCGGCATAAGCGCCTGCCTGCAAGCAGACAGTCGTGAGTTTATCTGGTACCGATAAAAAAAAGGAAAAAGACAAAAAAAAAAAAAAATAGAGAAACATAGTCGAAATAGAGGGAAAAGATAGTGCTAAAAAAAATCAATCTGTATTAACTTTAAGTTTGTATAAGTTGTATTATGAGTGCTATGTAATTACGTTTTTATTAAAATAATTGTTGTATGCGTATGTTTGCATATGTCTCAAAACAGAAAGCACCAAGAAAATAAAGCCACCCATAGGAACGGCAGTGAACGATAATCACAAGTTACATTTTGGTGCATGTTCTTCCTATCTCTGCATATATATTATATGTAAATTTTGATCAGTAAAAGTTCTCAAATTTTATGTAATGATAGTAGGCTTTTGCAGAGAAGGAAGAGAGCATGTACAGAAATAGATGGCGTATAGTATGGTATTTATTAGGGGAATTGGCTCCCATGATTATGGAGCCTGAGGAAGTCCTAAAGTCGGCAGTCTGCAGATGGACCCCCTGGAATGTCTGTTGAGCCCATTTAGTTTAGAAATTAAACCCAGTGAATTGTGGATTCTCAATTCCTAGTTAGGGAAGCTAGTGTTAACCGAAAACAAAATTGAATTCTTAATGGTACCAACAGTTTTATTGAGAAATTCAAAGACTCTTAATCATCAGTTACATTTCTATTTAAAATGAGATTTTTCTGCTGCTTCATTAAAACCTATATATCTAGTAATCTTACATTACAAGTCATCCAGTAGGATTTGAAATTTTTCCCTGCTTATTTGACATTCGCAGTGCTAATAGTATTACCGTATAGGCTGTTTTTTCAGCTTTTAGCAATGTTTAAAGCTTTAACTCTTAAAGGTTGGTCTCACTTTCTGTTTTAGGTCTGGAGAATAAACACAAAACACAATGTAATCTATGTAAATGGTTCTGTACCTGGACATAAAAATTGCTTAGTAAAGGTATGCACTTATTTTATTGTCTATTGTTTGAATATATGGAGTATGTTTTTCCACATATTCTGTACCAAAATATTCTGCTTTTTAGTAGCACCTAAATGAAATAGAATGTGCTACAAAATAACCTTAATTTATATAGCTCTAAAAACAAGAAGCTGTGAAATGGATAAAACCAGTAGGCAAAAGAATCTCCAGGATTATAAAGAAGGTATTAGTATTAAACTATTGACAAAATATGTCTGAACTTCCAAAAAGAAAAGTTTGATTTTTTTTCAAGAGTTCCTTTGGCAAAAGAATTGGAAATATGGGGGTTAGGAATTGACTCCATTCAGAAAGGTGGTGGAGGCAAACATGTTGGGCATGACTATCATTACTAGCCCTGCTCAGATTATACTAACTGGTTTCCTAAAATGTGCACTTTGTTTTAGAAAAAAAAAAGAAAAGAAACTCGTAAAGATGTATTTAAAGAAAAACTCGTAAGCTCTCAGAGTTATATTTCCATTAAGATACAAAATAAGTATTTTGCCTGGGATTTAGGCCAACACAATACAAATTCTGTCACTCTGGAATTTCAAGTCCTCCCTTCTGAAAATAGATTTGTAGTACGGGTGATGCCAGCTATTCCCAGAAGTACACTCTTAATTTTTTTCCAACATGCACAACAAAAGTATATTAAAATTTAATCCTCGGATTTTAAAAAATTGGGTGTCATGAGGAATGTGTTGTTTTGTTCTGTTTTTTGTGGTACTGGAAATTGAACCCAGGGCCTTTGCACTAAACTTTATCCCCAGCCCTCAAGTTCTTGCTAGGTCACTAAGTTCCCCGGGCTGTGCTTGAATTTGCAGTCCTCCTGCCTCAGCCAACCAAAGTGTGGAGATTACAGACATGTGCTACCACATAGACTGCTTATTTTTTCTGACATATCGCTAGGCACCCAGTCCATTCCACCACTGACCCACCCTTAATCCTTAAAATAGACTCCATTATGTGAATAAAGCATATTTTTCTAAACTTAACAAGAATTGTTACTTTTTAAAATTCCCTCTCTGAAACACTTGTTTCTATACTGAATTATTTTCATTTTTATAAAGGAAAATGTATCTGATGGAGTTTGGCAAATTCTTTTTCTATTTTTAAGTTTGTGGGTTTTCAAGTTTCCAATCCTCAATGACTAAGTTATCCATCGCATTTTAACCTTCCTAGTTCAGCATATCTGTAGTTCCACATTTCAGATTACCAGTCATGAATATCACAGCATAATACAAGGGAAAACAGATTACCTTTCCTAATAAAATTACACTGAATAGCAGATGAATTGTTGAATTCTGCCAGATCCTCCTTTCTGCTCATTTTACTGCTGTGACTGCTTAGGTACCACACCTATGTCTTCGTTGGCACCAACAGGGATAAAATAGTCAACTATCTTGAAAAATTAATTTTGTATACTGTTAGTCTGATCTGATTATTGTAAGTGGTTTATAGCTATCAGGTTCAAAATTTGCTTCAATAAATAGCTTTGCTTCCAAACACTATCGCCCTTTATAACTGATAATGGTTTGCCACCACAGAAAATATTTAGAATATACAATAAAGACAGTTCCAAAAGAGAAGTCTAAATATATTTTGAGAAATTTTAGCATTAAAGAAATGTCTAGCATCCTTTGAACTGTGAACAATTAAATATATTGTCAACAAACATTCTTCAACAGAAAGAACTCATCTTAAAAAACAAAACCTTTGAAATATGGTAACTAGGTAGATGTCTTTTATGACCTTAAATGTCTGACCCAAGTATTAAGGTGTGTGTGTCAGGGAATGTTCTGTGATTTTGTTTTTGTTTCAATATCAAAAGACTGGTGCACCAATTCACTCCATTGTTTCCGTCCTTCCAGTGATGGATACAGGGAATGAGCTGGCCAAGAGGACTGAGCCCTGCCTAGTGGGCACGCAGCTCCTTAACATCCTTCAAATTCTTCTGTACCTCAGATGCTTTTGCTTCCTCAAAGATTGAACCACGAATGCCTTCTTGTTTTTGTTTTTTGGTACTGAGAATTGAACTAGGACCTTGCGCTGGCCAAGCAAGTGCCTGTGCCACTGAGCTATATCCTCAGTTCAATAGCTATTTTTTTTTAAGATTCTGAAGTTAGTGGAGATAGTCTTGGGACAACCAGCCTGTTTAGGTACATAAGTGCTTTTTTTGTGGTTATTATAGCTGTTGAGATTCACTAAATGTATTAAAAGAAACTAAAGAACTGTTGTTTAGAACATAACATAATTGCTTTATTAAATACTGTTCATTTCTGACTGGCCCTATGTCCTAGTATATAATTTAAGTTTTATGTTGAGTTAGCCTGCTTTTAAAAGATTCGAGCTGAGTTTGAGTAGATATAAAAATAATGGGTAGATAGTTGAAGGAGGGACTCTTAGTGATGGCAAGAGAAAAGGGTAAGATTACACAGAAAATTCATCGATATATTATCCCTATGTTTTGTCCTCATTTCAGAGTATTCAAGATGAAAATATTTAGATGAGATGTCATCATTTATATTTAAAATCAGTGAGTTTTAGAACTATAGCATTTATACTTAGAATACATTATCAACCAGTGAAATATTCCTTAGGTATCATAGAGCTATAAAAGTGTAAAAGCACTAAGAATTAGCTGTTTAAATCATTTGTAATAATTTTTATTTATCAAATTTACACAAACTTTTATTTATTGGTTTTCATCCTAGCTGAAGTTCAAAGACTGAATTGGAAAAAACTAAACAAATTACATTTTTATGAACAGTATACTAGTAATTTCTTGTAATTTTGAGAGACATTAAAATAGATCTTTTTTTGTACTTGGTTGTTCATTGCAGCTGTGTAGTTATTTTGACTAAATTACTCATTTGTTATTGCCTAATGAATAAGCCTTATTTTTCTCAGTGGATATAATTACATGTTCTCTCTCTCTCTCTCTTTCTCTCTCTCTCTCAATAAAGACTATAAAATAAGTCAGAAATTTTGAGGAACCCAATAGTGTTCTGCAAAACTAAAACATAACATTTTAAATCATACCAATACTATAAATTTCCTGTGTTACGAATGTGCAGACAGAATTGTTTTGGAACCTAAATAGTTAACAGAGCTGTTATAGAGTCCTACAGACTATTATTGATTTTGCTAAATATTATCTTTAATTTCTCTGTAAGAATGTGTCTTACGAAATGTAAGTAAAACTGCTATAAAAATTGAAAATAAAATAATAAACATAGACAATGTAGGTTAGATAAAACAGATAATTATTAGGTGTTAGGTTTATAGTTTACATCAGATGTTTGTATTTGAAAAGTGAATCTGTATATAACTGATACTTGAATAGTAATTTTAAAATAAGATTTATCTTGTTAGTGATATATATCACTTATATAAAGTGATAATTGGTGATATTCTTATGAGATAGCTGATTAGAGAAGGGTTCTGTTTCTGTCATTTGATTAATCAGATTTTTATGTTTGCTTTTTCTCTCCAGATCAGAGATTCTAACTTGCCTGCATATAAAGATTTCAGTAAAAACCTGCCATTCCCTACATATTTTCCTGATGGAGACGAAGAGGAACTACCAGAAGATTTGTATGATGAAAACGTGTGTCAGCCCAGCGCTCCTTCAATTACCTTTGCCTAGCGCTGTTGGGTGTAGTCAGCCCATGCAGAGTCTGTGTGCACTCATGAGCCACAACAGTAACGTAACCGGAAGTTCCGTTCCCTCTTTAGCACCCACTTTTCATCCTTGTCAGAAGGCTTAAGTATATTCTTTCCCAACTGAATTTTGTTAGAAAAATTACCACATTTAATAAACCAGTTAATTATAGCATTTGCTAAAATCAACAGTTTGGATATGAGCAAAATAGTTTTAATTTGTAGATTTCATTCATTTACTACATATTTCTTAAGGTGTTTATAAATTTCACTTTATTAAAGATTTATCAATCTTTCATGGGTAGTTGTAAAAAATTATATGGGTACTATGATACAATCTGTTGAAATAAAAGAAACTATTTTCTAAAATTCATTTTTTTAACATTTCTACATTTTAGAGCCTTAAAAGGAGAGCAAGATTTTTGTTTGAAGTGCAGAAATGTATGTTGTTAAGAGGGAACGCATCGTCCCAGCACTGGCCTCTCATTTCCCTGGACCCATTTTTGAGTAGAGCTATCGTAGAAACAGTCCATTTCTCAGCAGAGAGCTAGAGGTAGGCATGGAAGCAGTTCATTTCTCAGCAGAATGCTCTTGAGGGTTCTGATTCTGTCTTGAGCATTTTTTGTAATAAACATCGTTCACATTAGATAAATATTCCAGCATAATTTATACTACCTATAAATTAAAAAATGGAGAAAATACTAAACCTTATATAATTCTGTAGGCTTCAAGGAAGGCCAGCTGATCAGTGATGCCTACTTTAAGAGTTAATATTAAGTACTAATCATTCTCCTTCCTTTCTAGGGCCTACCTGCTTGCTAACCAAAGCTGAAGTGCTAATGTGAATTAGTCTTGTCTCCATAAGGACCCTGACATGGGTGAATTGAATGGTGTCAGTAATCACAGACACTAAACTGTGTGAAGGAAGGCATGTCTTATACTCCACAAATGTACAGATATACTTTACAAGAGAAGTTGGGTATCCCAGTCAGTAGTAGTGCAATTCCAGTGGTCTCTACGCATCTTCACTTTGCATTCAGCAACTTATTTTGTTTTCATTGTTTTAATACTCAGAAGAACCCTTCTTTAAAAAAGAATGTATCAGAAAGAGGTTTTCTGGTTCCTAGCAAAGCTGACCCTTCATCCTAAGCCATTGCCTGCAGAAATACTATTGGCTCCATAATGAGTGCAAACTCATTATGGGAAGAAAGCAGCATTCACATTACCAACCTCGACGTGTTTTGTTTGGATCTCTGGAGTGAGCACTGAACAGATTTTAATGTTTGTTATTTCTCGTTGTCAGAGTAGAAATACAGTGTCAGCTTCTTGTGTCATTTAGTCTTGCAAAATTGTCCCCTCACCTGCAGCATGAGGTCCTTCTATCATCTACCTTGTTTGCTTTCCATAGCTGACTCCATTCTCTTGGTAGTATGTGCATTCCTCCAGAAATGCCTTGGCTCCCTTTTTGGCCTGAATGTCACCATTTTGAAAGTTCTCACTTTTGCAGGAAGAGCGGCCAGAAGAACAGACTGGTACTCCTTATAATGGTTTTATAAATTTATAGTTGTGCACTTTAGTGATGAGGTATGGCATGTCAGGGGTGGTAACTGTTTACTAAATTGTTAACACTGGGAAAGCATTTGAAGACAGGCAGACAGAAGCAGGCCATCAAGCCGTGAGGCTGCCTTGGGCTGCAGCCTTGGGTCAGTGACTTCAGGAGCTTTATAATCATTTGTATCATTTTGTAGCTATCTGTTTTTTATATAGGAGGAAGTTCTTCACATGAGAGCTTCCTTGACTAGTGGCAGATAAGGTTTCTGTTGCCTTGAGGGATTTTCCAGTAAGTTGACTTCACGGTAACAACATACTCCTTCAATTTTCAGCTTTATTGCTGTAAGGGCTTCATCTAGTAGGTTGACTCTATCAGTAATGTTTTCTCAAAGCATGTCTTACTAGACAAATGATGCGTGTCGTTCAGATTCTACCTCTAGCATTTGCCTTGGACTCTCTGAAATGAGGAATTCAAAATGTCCTTGTCCCCTCAGAAAACAGCCTGAGTCCTGAATGCACAAGATTGCCAGCCTTAATTTCATCATTTCCTTTTTTGCTTTTAAATGCTGTTTGCAAAGAACAGCAGTCCATGTCATGGGTTGTTTTTTATCCTTTTTAGATTTAATGAAGTGGTCTGTCCAAGTTAGATGGGGCAGATTAATCTTAATGGATGCAATCTGCACCACCATAAAAGCAAATGAGTTATTTTAACTCAACTGGCTAAAGAATCTCAGCATGGGAGGTGCATAATTGTTCCCTCTGGGCATTTGATGGTGATAAAGTGACAGTTGTAATCTTGATTGTTCCACAAGCAGGCTATATGAGCACCGTGTATGTTCTAGGGCATTTAGAAAGGTTATTTTAAAGAAAAAGGGTGAGATATCTATCAGATTCTGACATAGCACTGAAATTTGCGTTGAGAAGGAACTAACTAAACATTCTATCACAAAATTTCTGACAGAGATGCATGGGTGACTGTTAATGAGACTGTGTCAGAAATGAACAGTTCATGGGTTTTGTGAACATCCAGCATAAATTTTTCTTGTCTTTTTCTTTTTTATCGGTACCGGGGATCGAACTCACGACTGACTGCTTGCAAGGCAGGCGCTTATGCCACTGAGCTAAATCCCCAGTCCCCATAAATTTTTCTTATCTAAAATAGTGGTATATGTAAATGATGAGGCAAAGATAGCATCAAAGGAATTAGCTGATTGTACATTTATTCTGCTAACTGCAGAAGCTTTGAATCGGATATCTTTCCTTCCTGCTAAGTTTATCTCCCTCCACCATCCACAAACAGTAAGTTTGACAAGTTTCTACTAAGAGCCAGCTTGCTGCTAAAACTTACTATGAATGGCAGAACGGAGATGATAATACCACAGAGGAAATAGATGTTTAGGAAAACAGGAATCAAATCTGAAGGAATAGGCAAAAAAGTGCTGATGAAAAAGCAAAACAAAGGAAAGATTTATATAAAAACTTCAGGCGTTCTTACCTATAAAATTATGATACACCGGATCTTCTCTGCGGAGTTCAGTTTTTTGGCTAATCAACAAGGAACCCTCTACCACAAGGAGATTGATCTAATGAGCTGCAGCCCTTCTTTTTAGGCATCACTTAGCACAGAGCCCCATTCTTCTGTGCCCCAGAAGCCACTGAAATAAACATTTATGAAGTCAAAAGAACATAGACAGGGAACATGTCATGCTTAGGTCATTCCCACAGGTCCACTGAAGGAAGTGTCACTTCCCCCCACAAAGTTCTCTACTGGCTGCAGGTCAGCACCTCACAGAGATCTTAAAACCCTGTTCCAGGACCTGGACTCCCAAGTGAGTGTGGCAGAGGGGCCTTCCATTTCGGGCTGTTTCCCACTGGATGGTAGAACTCTGGTTGGTGTCAGTCTTCCTTGAGTTGAGTGAACTTTCTGTGTTTCTATCAGGGCTGTCTTTCCCATCCTCAAACAGGGAGAAGGTTGACTATGTATCTGAGAAGTTGTGTGCTGTCAGCAGTAAAATAAGAATGAAACTTTTGTCCTTTCTCAGCCAACTCCTAAACTGTCTGAGCAATGTCTTGAGCTTCACCAGTAGATATTGATTAAAACTGCAAAGGGCTTCAGGCAGTAAAATTTGAGACTTTAAGGAAATTCTGTGGTCCCAGAGTATCAAAGAGGTTATGCTAGCTAAACTGCTGAGCCATCATATGGCAAGTGTTGATTCATAATGTAGTTGAGTAGAAAGCTCCCTTTAGCTTTTTAAGAACAATATTTCATTTTTCTCTTAAGTTTGGATGTTGCAAAGGATGCTGGATTCACACAACCCGCCTGGTGGGAGATGGTATTTCAGGTTGGCAGTGCTGGGACAGGATAAACTTCACAACTGCAGCTGTGTGAAAAGTCAGGAGGGCTCATGCCACAAGCCCTGCTGTGGAGGACACTGTCCATTTCCTTAAGCCTCAAGTCCCCCAGGTAATGGAAGATCTATGTCCCACCTACCAAAAAGTATGATTCCTTGAATCAAATAGATGCTGAATCTTTTATGGGTTTCTGCCTTGACTCTGAACACAGACTAAGAGGGTATATTCAAGTGAACTAACTATTTATCCAGAATGATCTGGACATAATAAATGTTCATTAAGATATTTACTTAAAACTTAAACTCGGAGTAAAAGGTACCATTTCCTAAATGCCTATAGATGAGGGAAGAAACGTAAAGGAAGTGTTGATTAAGCACTGAAGAGCAGTTACACAGGCTGTTTCTTGCCACAGGACATTTCTCAGATGCATCTGCAGGCTTATGCTCAATACAACAGATGATCCATCCCATAGCCTAGGAGCTATCATGCTGCCAGAACTTACAGTAACAAAAACTAAAGTCTCTACACAGATTCGACGGGCTCCTAAAGGTGCCGAAAGCTAGTAAAAGGTAAGAAAAGAAACTGAATGTGGCCAAGCCTGTTCACTCTCCTGCCAGTGGTACCTGAGGACTGATTACTTACAGTGCACAAAGCAGAGGACTGCTTGATTTCAAGTGATTCCACTGAAACCTTTTGCCCTTTCAGGCATCCTGTGGAATAGTGTTTGCAGAATGAACGTCTTAGGAAAACTTTTTAAAAGTCAGTATACTCATCTACATTTTTTCTGTTCTATGTTCTCTTATTTAGCATAAATAAGCATTTCCCCAGATCGTAAGTGAACACATTATGAATTAGCCACTTAAAACTTAACGAAACTGTATCACCAAACCATTTTCCAGCAAGCACTTTTGGTACCACCTAAGTTAAAGCAGAAAACAGTAAGAGCGGAAAGAGAAAGAGAAACACCGCAAGCGCCCAAAAACCAATGAAGGAAAAAAATTAGTTCAAAAACATTTCTTTGTCTTTTTGAATGAATGGCTTATTTTCAGGACCTTCAGTCTTCAGATCCAGCAAGTCACAATTTTTTACTTAGTGTTATGCCGTGTGTGTCTGTAGGGTGTCCCAACACCCTGCTCCAAGACCTGTCTGTCCATATACTCTAAAACTGTGGCAGTGGTCCAAGCCAAGATGTCCTTGCTTACTTGGTAGATGGGAAAAGTAATCACACAAATGGTCTCTGCTTGCTGGAGGGAGTGGACCAGAGGTTCAAGCAGATTGCTAGACTTAATGCTGACCCTCAAATGTA